TTCCCTGTCCTAAGGTCTCCTTCCAGCCCTGACATTCCCTGTTCTAAGGCCCCTCCCAGCTCTGACATTCCCTGTTCTAAGGCCCCCTCCCAGCCCTGACATCTCCTGTTCTAAGGCCCCTCCCAGCTCTGACATTCCCTGTTCTAAGGCCACCCCAGCTCTCACTTTCTATGTGAGCTTTCTAAAGCCTCAACCTGTCCTGACATTCTGTGAATCTCGGATTCCTTCCCAGACTCTAGATGCCCCCAACCCTTATGCTGACTGTTCCTGTGCTGTGTTCCCATGACATCCCATCTGCTCTCCATCAGTCTCCTTGACTCGCAAGCTTTCCCAACCCTGAGTTTCTCATTTGTTCTCAATTCTTTGTAATTTGGCCGTGGTTGGGGATAGGATTGTAGGGAGAGAGTAGGGAGATGTAGTGGAAGGGGCAGGGGAAGGCAGAAGCCAGGAGGGAGACCTGAAGCAGAGTCCTTGAGGATAACTCAACCTCCCCCCACACACACACACCCAGCCTGGACACCGGGAAGCACTGCTGGCCCAAGGGGGGTGAAAAAGAATGAGGAAGCCAGGCCTAGCTGTCAATCAAACTGGGAAACCAGCGGTGTTATGATCTGGCGCTTCCCGTTCTGAAACTGAAACCCTACCTTGTGCCAAGGGCAGGGTTAGGGGAGACAGGAAATCTGGGGGTCTGCGTGTTAGCTCTGGGAGGCTGGGTGGGACATTTCCTCTGACTGTGCCTCGGTTTCCTCCATTGTAAAATGAGGAGAATGGACAGAATCATGTCAAAAGTCAGAGGATCATAAAATTAGAGCCGGAAGGACCCTAGAATTCATTTTATACAACCCCCTACCTCATCGGACAGAGGAAGAAACTAAAGTCCAGCCAAGAAGTCAGAGGATTTGTGCGAAGCTAGTAAGCTGTTGAGTCAGAATTCGAATCTAGGTTCTGAGTCACTGAATCTAGGACTTTGTCCATTACCCCACAAATACTGACAATCTCTGGTCTATATTCTATGTACTAAGTTCCCTCCCTCATTACAGCTATGTTCTAAGGTCCCTTCTAGCTCTGACGTTCCCTGTTGTAAGGATCTTCCAAGTTCCAATATTCCCTCTTCTAAGGCCCCTCCTAGCTCTGTCCTTCTGTGTTCTAAGGTCCCTCTCAGCTCTGACATTCTCCATTCTAAGGCCCTTCCCAGCTCTGACATTCCTTGTTCTAAAACCCTTCCCAGCTCTAACATTCCCTGCTCCAAAGCCTCTCCCAGTTCTGACATTCTCTGCTTTTTGTTCTAAGCATCTCTAAGAGTCCCTAGATGGGCCATGGTCTGTGCTGTATGGTTCCATGTCCTCTGCTTACCAGGTAGGGGAGCATGACCTGTTGTCATGACCATTTTGCAGCTAGGAAAACTGAGGTGGACAACAGACAGAGGACATGCCTGAGGGAGCGCTCTGTGATGGAACATCCTGCTCAAACCGGATGCTCCGAACACCCTCCACCCATGGTGCTTCCAGCCCCTCCTCCACTCTCCTCTCTCCACTCCAGCTCCTCCAATTTCTCCTTTCTTAATACAGTTGAAGCTTCTGCCTGATTGACCCAGATCCTTGGCCAATGAGGCAACCCCTTGCCACAATAAGACACAGAAACACATTTCATAAAGGAATCTGACAATTACCCAGACTCCCTGAAGACCCTTTCTTGACGTCAGTAAGCTGCTGGATTGGCAGGGAGAGAAATAACGAATGCTGGTCTCCTAGACCTTTCCCCACACGCTGATGACTAGGGTTTGGCTGGGGGGTGTTGAGGTCGATGACTTGGGGGGAGGGGGTGGCTGGTGGCTCTACTTAGAAAGATCACGCCCTTGAGAAGGTCCCAGCTGCCAAAGCTGTCAGCCATACTTACACCTTTAACCACACAAGCAGCAGGTGGGATGCTAAGGTCCGCACCCGAGAAGGTATGAACGAGTAGCCGAGGGTCCTAAGCACTAACCTTCCAGCTGGTGGAAAGGCAACTAACTGCCTAAGAACAGGAACAGGAAACCTGAGTTCAAGTACTGCCTCTGATATTTACCACCTGTGTGGTCTTGGGCAAGTAACTGACCTCTCAGAGCCTCTGCTTATTCATCCTTAAAATGGGAATAACAATTTGTGTAGTCCCTCATAGGGTTACCATGAGGCTCAAATGAAACAGAATAACACGGAAGTACAATATATTGTAAATCTTCAAACGCCTTTAAATGTCAGGGCTTATGATGGCCATAAAGGTCAACCCTGCAAGGGTTGAAAAGGGCAGGGCAGTCTGGGTGTGCAGTCTATCCGTCAAGAGCTGCAGGACAGTTGGTTCAGCGCCACATTTCCGTGCCTCATCAGGGGTTTCCTGAAATATCCTGAAATATCACTGGGATGTTCCCTCCTGACTAGATGGAAGCTTGTGCTGGAAATGTATGACAGGTAGAGCTGTGTTCAGAGTTGATAGGCTCTAGGACAGCTTGCCAGGGGTGGGCAGGGTGGGAAGAAGGGTAGATGAGTAGACCTCAGGGACAGGGGGAAGAAAGCGATCTGCGGTTTGGAGAGTTCTGCAAATATGCAGGGCGTTCAGCAAGAAAAGTGAGACCTCAGATGTTCTCCCTTGTTTATTATTTTATTAGTCATGTCCTACTCTTCCTACATGACCCTCTTTGGGGTTTTCTTGGCAAAGTTATTGGAGTGGCTTGCCATTGCCTTCTCCAGCTCATTTTACAAATGAAGAAACTGAGGCAAACAGGGCTAATTCTGGGGTCATACAGCTAGTAAGGGTCTGAGACCAGATTTGAACTCAGGTCTTCCTGACTCCAGGCCCTGTGCTCTATCCACTGTGCCACCAAGATGCTCTTTCTAGGAGCCAGAAATTCTGGGTACGTGCCACCTCTTCCTTGACTGACCTGTTTTAAGCAAACTGCTAGGAATCAAGAAACCAGCCTCCATCTAGAATCCTAGAAGCCAGAAACTGTGAACG